TTTTTTTTTTAGTCACGGATTGCAATCTCTACAATGTAATATCATTTATCCCACTTCCTCTCTGTGTTTCTTATTTCTGTTCCCCTTTCTGCTTTCTAAACTTTATCCTTGAGCAAATGTTGCCCTGTTGATATCAAGTTTTTGATTATAAGGACTGTATACCCCCTTAAGGAGCTCTGGTAGCACAGTGGTTACGAATTGGACTGCAAAACGCAAGGTCAGCAGTTCAAAACTACCAACTGTTCCACAGGAGACAGATGAGGCTTTCTGCTCCCAAAGATTTCCAGCCTCGGAAACCCTGTACAGGGTCGCTATGAGTCGGAACCAACTCCACAGTACACAACAACAACAACATACCTCCTTAGTGTTATTGCTCACTTTACAGAACTTTCTATTGTTTGGCTGAAAATTAAATCCTGAGGGTGAGTTCAGTTCCATGCCTAAGGATGACTAAGGGCCGTACTCTCATGGCTGTTGTTGTTGTTAAGTACCATTGAGTTGGTTCAGATTCAAAGCAACCCTGTATAGGGTTTCTGAGGAGCAGCTGGTGAGTTTGAACCACCAACCTTGCAGTTCAAACCGCACCAGGACTCCAGTTTCTTGGGATAGGTCGTTAAGTTCTTTCAACAATGTTTTGTAGGTTTCAGTGTTCAAGTTTTTAAAAATTTCTTTTGTTAAATTTATCCCTAGGTAGTTTACTCTTTTTGATACTGTTATAAATTGATTGTTTCCTTTATTTAATTCTTGGTTTGTTCATTACTAATGTAAAGAAATACAATTGATTTTTGTGTACTGATCTTGTGTCCTGCAACTTTACTAACTCATTTATTCTAGTAGTATTTTAGTGGATTGCTTAGAATTTTCTATAAACAAGATTATGTCATCTGCAAATAATTATAGTTTTGCTTCTGGCCCTCTCCATTCTGGGTGCCTTTTGTTTATCTTTCTAATAGACCTGACTGGATGGAACCTTGGAGTAAAGCTGAATGAAGTGGGAAAAGCAGACACCCTTATCTTTTTCTTGATCTTAGGAGAAAAGCATCCAGTCCTTCACATTTATTATGGTGTTAATTTTTGTTTGTTTTGATAGATTTTCTTTGCCAGGTTGAGGAAGTTCCCCTTTACTCCTACTTTGTTGAATCTATCTCTCAAATGCTTTTTCTGTATCCATTGAGATGATCATTTGTTTTTTAAACTATCTGATATTGATATGGTTTGTTACACTGATGGATTTTCTCATTTTGAACCATTCTTATATTCCTGGAATGAATTCCTGATATAATTATTTTAACATGCAGTTGGATTTGGTTTGCTAGTATTTTATTGAGGATTTTGGCATTTATAGGCACTGTAGGATAAGCACTGGACTGGTACAACAAGGTCAGCAGTTCAGCTGCACTGTGGGAGAAAGATGAGGCTTTCTGCTCCATACAGATGAAAGAGCCTTGGAAACCATATGCAAGATCCCTAAGTCAGAATCAAGTAGATGGCAGTGGGTGGGTTGGGTATTCATAAAGGATATCGATCTTTATTTTTCTTTTCTTGTGAAGACTTTGATTTTGGTATCAGAATAACTCTGGTCTCACAGAATGCATTGGCAAGTGTTTCTCTTCTGTCTTTTGGAAGACTTTGTAAAGGATTGGTGTTAACCCTGTAGGTATTTGATAGAATTCACAGGTGAAGCATATGGGTCTCCACTTTTCTTTATTGGAAGCTTTTTTTATTACTAATTCAATCCCCTTACTAGTCAGGTTTTTTATACTTGATCAGTTTTAGTAGTCTGCATCTCTCTAGGGATTCATACATTTCATTTAAGTTTATCTAATTCTTGGCATACAATTATTCATTGTACTCTTTCATATTCTTTGTTTATTTGAAGTCTGCTTTTTTCAAGGAGTCCTGGTGTGGCAGTGTAGGATAAGCACTTGACTACAAGGTTGGTGTAAACCACAAAGTCGGTGGTTCAAACTCACCAGCCACTCCATGGAAACCCTATACAGGGTCTCTATGAGTTGGAACCAATTCGATGGTACTTAACAACAATATATTTTTTAAGAAACAACTTATGGTTTTATTAGTTTTCTCTGTTTCATTAATTTCCACTGTGTTATTGTTTGCCATTGAGTCTATTCTGACTCACAATGACCCTATAGTACGGAATAGAACTGCCCATAGTTTCCTAGACTGTAATCTTTAAGAAAGCAGGTTTCTGGGTCTTTTCTTCTGAGGAGTGGCTGGTGGATTAGAATCTTGGACCTTTCAGTTAGTAGCTTGTACCTTTCCGGTACAATGCTTAACCAGGGTTCCTTATTTCTACTCTAACTTTTTCATTCCTTTTTTTCTGCTTGGTTTGAGTTGAGTTTGCTCTTCTTTTTTCCAGTCTTAAGGTAGAACATTATGCTATTGATATGAGATCGGTCTTTTTCTAATATAGGCATTTGCAGCTATCGATTTCCCTCAAAATACTGCTTTATCTGCACCTCATGAATTGTGGAATATTGCTTTTCTCGTTTTCATTAATCTTATAGTATTTTCTGATTTTTCTTGTGAGTTCTTCTTTAACCAGTTGGTTATTTAAGTTTGTGTTGCTTAATTCCGATGTTTGTAAACTTCCCAAATTTATGTTATTGATTTTAAATTTCATTCCATTGTCTTATATCTTTAAAAAAATACTTTCCTAAGAGATTTTTATTGGCCGCTATTCACACAGTTAAACATGTAGGTTCTGGTTGAATGTGTGAGCTTTTTCTCACAAAGTTCAGTTTTTGGAAGACTTTGTAGGAAGTCAAGCTACTCTGGTCACATATTATTTTCCCCTTCTTAGAACAGGAATACTCAAGAGATAGGTTTTGCCCTACTTTCTTTTTCCTTTAAATGGCTTTTGGTGATGCACATTGGTTTGCTAGTCTTTTGTTGAGGATTTTTGCTAACTGAAAGGTCAGCACAGTTCAAACCACCAACCTCTCTGTGGCAGAAAGAGCAGTCCTCACATCATGCCCTGCTGTGGCTAGACTCAGGTGAGGCAGCCCTGCAGCCGTGACGCTTGCGCTGTAGGGACCCCGGAGCCGTGCCCTGGTTATGACCACGGAGTGGGCTCTGGGGCCCCAGACTGGTGATGTCATTGTTCATTGTTTATGTGCCTTCAAGTAGGTTCCAACTCAGAGCGACCCTGTAGAGGGTTTCTGAGGAACAGCTGGTGGGTTTGAAGCACCAACGTTGCTATTAGCAGTCCAGTGCTTATTCTATTGCACAACTCCAAGATTCCCTGTGATTCGTAGCTTTTTTTTTTTTTTTAATGCTAGGATCAGTTTGCACTTTCCCCTTTCTGGTGTGGTGCTGTAGTATAAGCACTTGACTGCTAACCACAAGGTCAGCAGTTCCAACCCACCATTCTTTCCTTGGAAATCCTATATAGGATCCCTATAAGTCAGAACTGACTCAACAGCACTAACTAACAACAACAGCAACAAGCCCTGGGGATCAGCAGCCATTCTCCAGGGGAAATGTGGTTTGTTTTGACGAATAGTATTTTGTAGCCAAAATCTAGGTATATTTCAGATTAATTTTACTGGTTGCACTTCTGTTCTCCTCAGGACTTAGTCATGGTTCCAGTGGGGCAAGGGTACCCGCACTCCAAAAAACAATTTGTTTCTAGAATAAGCTGATTGTTCCTGAACCCAGGGAGAGCTCTTCCTTCTCTATGCCTCACTCCCTAGCAATCCCAAATGGTGTGGACCCACTAACCTCCTCCTCAGTGGGTACACCTTAGGCTCAATTTGGGTTTCCAAGGTAGAAAACATCTCCACACACTGCTCTTTTGTTGTTTAGTGTTGTTGAATTCAGTCCGACTCAGCAACCCTGTATGGGGTTTCTGAGGTGTGGCTGGTGAGCTTGAACTGCCGACGTTGCAGTTCAAACTGAGCTTGCAGTCCAGTGCATTAACCCACATTAACATTGGGCTTCCAATGTAGAAAACATCTCCATACACTAGGAGTTAATTATTTAAAGGTTCAGCCTGAAAGGCAGGACTGTAAAAGATACATGTCTGAGCACAACTTCTCATTTAATACCTAGTCTGGCTAAAAAGATAGCAAGTAAATTTATCCCTGATCTGTATTGTACAGAAAACTTGCACGTGTGTATAGCAATGTGGTTTAATGGAGAGACCATAACTATGAATTAGCCAGAACTGGATTTAAATACTTGACCTGGGTGAGCAGAGACTCTGTGAGCATGTTTCCTTCTCTGCAAAATGAGGCTAATAATGCTGACCTGGCAGAATTTTTCAGAGGATTAGAGAGGTGTGGAAGGGATGAGGATTCTGGCAAGCAGCAGAACCGCTCCCCTCTCTAGGGTCAATAGCATTTCATCATCACTGACGCAGTGCTGTGGAATGCAGCTGATTTTGTTCATGAATGCTGTCTAGTGGAGACTATGGAGCTAAGGGGTTACCTGCTTCCAGTACCAGTCTAGTCAACTCTGAGCCATGGTAACCCCGTTGTGTCATAGTAGAACTGTGCTCCATAGGGTTTTCAGTGGCTGGCTTCTTAGAAATAGTTTTTCAAGACTTTCTTCATAGTGCATCTGGATGGTCTCAAACTTCAACCTTTTGGTTAGTAGCCATTAGAATATTAATCTTTTATACCTCACAAAGCTTCCCTGAATACTTGCTTACCAGTGATTTATAGACTGTAAAACTTTTTTTATTTAATTATCAATCTCTGTCTCATTTCTTTAAATATTGTTTATTCTTTCTAGTCGACCTGCAACATTTCAGAAGTATCACCAAGTGAGTCTGCTTGCAAGATTTAATCAAGATCTGGATAAAGTGGCAGCCATTTCCTTAGTGTTCTCTACAGGAACTGTAATAGGCCCAAAGTACAAGCTCAGGATTCTCCGAATGAAGTTAAGGTCCCTTGCCCATCCAGAGAGGTAAGCAGTAGGCAAGGTTTGACAAGCTCTTGTTTTCCAAAGATGTTGTTGGGTTTTGTCCAATCTGCTTAGTGAGAGGTTCTAACAGGACTCCATTCATTAGTCACGAGGTTTGCCAAAAATAGACTTGATAAAAACAAATAGTCCAGTAACCCAAGAAAGTCTTACTGAAATATCCTTAAAGATACATAACTCTTTAAGAAAATAATGCTAAATGCTTAGTATTATGGGATTCCTTCTGAATCATCTACACTGCTTGCAAGTTGAAAGCTTATGTGGCAAAGAAAATCTCATGTAATTTGATAAACTGATAAAAGAGACTGGTATTAAAAAAGGTACAGAAAGATTGGTATAATTTATTCCACTGATACAGTATAAAAGTACTGAATCAATGTTCAGTTTCTCAAATTTGATAACTGTACTGAGACTATCCTTGTTCTTGGGAAACATGCAGTGAAATATTAAGTGGTAAACTATTCTGAAATGGTTCTCAGAAAATAAACAACAGTGTGTGTGTGTAAAAAGAGAGATTGAGAGAGTGAGAGTGAATGGATAAAGGGAAGAAGTGGAAGGAGGGAGCGAAGAAATGATGAAAGAATGATTTTATTTTTTTAAAGTACAGTGTTTTGTAAAGAGCCCTGGTAGTGAAGTGGATTATGAGCTGGGCTACTAACCCAAAGGTCAGCAGTTCAAATCTACCAGCCGCTCCATGGGGAGAAAGATGAGGCTTTCTGCTCCCGTAAAGATTCATAGCCTCTGGAACCCTATAAGGGTCGCGTAGAGTCAGAACTGACTCAGTGGCACACCACCACCATCATCGTATTGTGTATATTCTGTAATAAATGCCAATCCACCTTGCAGTCCTAGCATCCAATTGATAGACAAAGACAGGAATTGATGTAAGATGTTAATACTTCCTGTTTATGAATTTTTCTTCTTGGTTCAGGGAACCCTAACAAATTTAGTAACTTTCATCTAAGAGACTAGTCATTACATCTCAAAACTGTGGGACTTTAAAAATACTTTGTTTGCTGATTATGAAAGGAATAATATGCTCATTTTGTAAAACTGTGTATCTTCTTTTCACAGACCCCAGTTGTGTCGGTATGATCTTGTTCTGAAGGAAAACGTTGAAACAGTCTTCAGACCGATCCATTGCCCAAAGTTGCAAATGTAACTGTTGTAGAAATTCATGGCACCAGTAATATCAAGAAAACTACAACAAACTTTTTAAAAGCTGCACTTCACCATTTCCAAAAGGCACAAAAGAGTACAGAGAAAGTCCAGGCTTTTTTTTCCCAGTAATGTCCTATGGATGTCACATTGCAAAACATCAAATGGCCTAGTGATTATAAAATCATTCTGGGACAGGAGCATCTAACTAGGGCAGTCAGAAATAGCCAGCTCCAGACAGCTTGGTTTGGCTGTGTCCCGAGGCCTCGTGTGTTCCGACTCATCGAGTCCACTTTGTCACGTGGACAGATCTGCTTGTTACTGCAGGCTAGATGTCTTAAAAGGAAGGACTGGCTGGAGATCACACTTTGGACTTGACTCTACATTCCTTGTGCCAACTCCTTCCAGGTCCCACATGCACAAGGGAATAGAATCTGACCTACCTCACAGGGCTGTTGTGTATGCTTGGGAGGTGAGTCTGAAAAGGGTTCTTTGAAATGCCATAGGGGCCATATCCCCGAGATGTTTGATGAATGTGAATCTGTTTTTGTTTATTTTTGATACGACTTTTCTAATATGCAATAAGGGGGCTATTTCTCATCAATATCAGCTTCTTTCTTGGGATGTTTGCTCAAGATGCAGGAAAGCCATGCCCCTGGCTTCCCTGGAGGAGATGGGGATGGAAGACAGCAGATGAGGAGATGCTGGGTCTGGATAGTAAGTAGGTGGAGGAAGGAGGGCAGATGAGGCAATGAAACCTCTCCGCAGCATGGTGACTGGGATAAAGCAAGAGACAGGAGAGAAAAAGCAAAGCCTGATTTTCACGTAGGGAGGAAAAGGGATCACTTTATAAATCATCCTGGTAACCAATCCTAAAAAAACAAACATAAAGACTGTAAATCTTTACAGAAGCACGCTGCCACACCTTTCTCCTGCAGAGCATCTGGTGGATTTGAACTGCTGAACTTTGGTTAGCATCCCAGCATTAATTCACTGTACCACCAGGGTTCCTTAATCCATGACTGTTGAAGGAAATTTAGAAAATGCACAGAAACACAATGAAATCTCTCTTTCATTTTTATTAATGTTAACCTTTTCAAAAGATGCTACTGAGGAACTTTGTTTGCTAATGTGAAGTCAAAACATAAACCTATTTGCTCTTGGTGCGTCTTAAGTTCAAGAAATTCTGAGGCTTCCCTGGAAGTGATGTGATCTGTGGATCTGGAATGTCAGTAGCAATCAAGTCAAGATGCCCTGGAGAACCAAGGCCAGTGAGGGGGGGATGATCACCAGGGGATGACCCTGAGGCCAGGCACCCAAAGCAAGACAGAACCAGAGGGGTGGGCATGCCCCACCCTAGTTGTGGCCACTGCATGAAGGTTCCTGGGATTCCTGAGTGCCACAGCTGGGTGCTTTCTTCCTCATTCAGGGACTGCTCTTCTACTGTTTTATTTTAGAGAGATGGACTTACTATCCCATAGATTCAATAAATCTGCAAACACATCCCTGTGTAGCACACCTTCTTACAGGTTTATACCTGTATCAGATGTCTTGGATAAATGTCTATTGAATAGGTGGGTTGTGCAAAAACCATGTGGAGCCCATGTGTGATTTCCTCTGGTTTCACAAAGGGGAAAGAGAGAATCAAACTCAAAATCAGCCCAAGGCAGATTTCTATGAAGCAGAGATCAGACATGACTCTACCCTACAACGTTCTTTACCCTATTCTGACACCAATCATCTCTCCCCCTCCTTACCCCCCAGCACGCTGTTCACATCTGGGTTTGATAATCTATTGCAATGACCACACAGAACTTATAACAATACTCACGATTATGGAAATTTATTAGGGACGTCAACAGGTACAATTCAGGATCAAAACTAACTCAGAACACATCAGTTCTCCAGTCAGAAACACCTCGTCTCCCACGCCTCACTCTTGTCTTCGGTTTATCAGCCATGTGGTCCCTTGGCCTCTGCCCTGCTCTGGCAAGGGTTACAAAGCACTTTTAGCCAGTATGTGAATGCCCACAGAGCACTTCTGCAAGCCAGTCTCCTGCCCGTTAGGCCCATGGGCTTTGTTCAGTCCATATACCTAGAACCCTCAGCTGCTCTGTCTCCATGCCACGGCCTCCGCTGTCACTGCTGTTCTAGTAAGCGATCTCACGCTCCACCCATGCCTTTCCTTCTTGATGGCCCTGGGGCCGTCTGTGCCTATTTCTGAGACAGCTCTTTTTAAACCTAGCAAAAATTAACCAATCCCAGCCTTAGAGTCCTAGATACCTTATTTGTATGGTTCTACTCAATCACTTGGTGAGAATAAAGACACTGTAAATTCAAGGTACCACAAAGGGGATGGATGGATGAACAATGAATGAATGAGTGAAGGGAGGATGGAAGCTTCACTTGGGTGATGAGTGTTAACAGTGCATGGTGAATTCACAGAATAAGGGACATTTCCCCCTCTCCTCCTGTTTCCTCAGTAACTGTCTAGAAACAGCAGTGTGACTTTTTAGAGTTTTTTTTTTTTTTTTTTTGTCTCTGTATTTTGATGAGCCTAACAACCAGTTCTTTGTCCTCTTCCTCATGTTTTGAGTCCTGATGTGGCGTTGTGGGATACAGCACTGGACCACGAAATTGTTTGAACCACAAAGTCAGTGGTTCAAGCTCCTTGGAAACCCTCTACAGGGTTACTGTGAGTTGGAACCGACTCATCGGCCCTTCACAACAACAGCAGTCACTTCTTTGTCCTATGCCTCATGTTTGGTGAACAGGAGGTTGCAACAATATGACAATGCCAGGAATAGCATTTCTCTCAGTTTATAAACTGCTTGGGCCAGTGGGTCTCTTTTCTTCTTCTTAGTGTCTTTTAGCATAGTACCAGAATCCCTGGTACTAGCTTAAAGCTTGGTGGTTTGAATATAGCCAGAGATGCCTTGGAAAAAGGCCTGGTTATCTGTTTCCAAAAGGTCCCAGCCTTGAGAACCCTTTGGAGCAGTTCTACCCTGCTGTGACTCAACCGATTTGATGGCAACTAACAACAGCACAGTACCTGGCTCACTGTGGGCCTTGAATCAATGCCTATGTGATAGGTGGATGGATGGATGAATAAATGAATGAAGGAGTGAAAGAAGGAAGGAAGGAATTAGTGCACGGGCGGTAATTGTGGTTGTATGCTATTGAGTCCCATAGTTGACCCTGCATAGGGTTTCCAAAGCTGTAAAGCTTTACAGGTATAGAAAGCCTCATCTTTCTCCCATGGAGGAACTGGGAGATTCGAACTACTAACTTTGTTGTTAGTAGCCCAGCTCGTAATCCACTATGCTACCAATGAACTATGCTTAGATCACTGGAGTAGAAGTGAATTTCAACGTAGTTCCTGTAACAGTGATGAGAAGAAATGAAGGCAGTTACAGATGTGTCCGTTCTCAAATTCTTTTCCCTAAGGTCCTGGAGCTTTTGACTCTGTGTTTTGTTGTCTTTGCCTCTCCTCCCTCTCTTCCAAGAATCCAAGATGTAATTAAATTATAATCTTCTCTCTCCCCACCCCCCCATTTGACTGTTATCTCCTGCTGATCCTTTGTTGAATTTTAGTTCAATTGTCACTTCTTCAGGGAAGCCTTCTTGGATGTCATTTCTCCCCATAGCACATTACGTTTCCTTCCTGTTGTTGAGTGCCGTCGAGTTGATTCCGACCCATAGCGACCCTGTGTAGGGTTTCCAAGCAGCAGCTGGTGAGTTTGAACTGCCAACCTTGCAGTTCAAATGGCTTTGCAGTCTGATTCATTAACCCATAGCACCATGATTTGACATTTATTTCTATGGTTATCTGATTAATCTGTCTTCTCAGATTAATGGCAATTCTGTGTGCAGTGCCTATGTGCCTAGTCTGGTGCCTGGCATAGTCTTGGCATATAGTCTGTACCCAGGAAATCTTTATTCAAGGTGTACTCCATTACCCTCTGAGCTCTGTGGAAGCATGTTCAGTTGTGAGGAAAGACCCCACTCCCAAGCCCAGTTACAGCCCATTTCCACAAGGTCACCTCCCCTTCTCTCGTATGCCTATGGACTTCTCCCCGAGACATGTTTGTTTCTGTTGTCACTATTATTTCTGGTGTCCAAGGATCCCAGGGAAAAGTAGAGGTTGACTCCTTTTTTCACTCTTTACTGTGTCTTCCAACACCATTCCTTAGGAAATCTATCTGTCCTGAAGAAAAGGAGATTTTGCCTTCCTAGGCACTGTGGGCTACTGCGTCACACTGCAAAATCATGTGAACCGCAAGGTTGGCGATTCAAGCTCACCAGCCGCTCCTTGGAAACCCTATACAGGGTCATTATGGGTCAGAATCGACTCAACGACACTTAACAACAACACGCATTTTAGTGGAGTTCTGGTGTGGCATGGTGGGTTAATGCGCCAGACTGCAAAGCTGTTTGAACTCAAGGCCAGTTCAAGCTTATCAGCTGCTCCTCAGAAACCCTATACAGGGTCGCTATGGGTCGGAACTGACTCGACAGCACTTAACAACACCCATTTTAGAAACACCCTGCCACATTACTGGACACCTCCAAGTCACAGTTCAAAGTCTTCCCTTGCCTGCTTTTCCCCAACTCCCTCCCACCACTCCCTTTGCTGCTGACTTTGTCCCTGCCTCATTGGAGCTTTTATTATGCTGTATTGCAATAGATCTGTTTAGTGTCTATAACCTCTCCAAGGAGTCCTGGTATGGCACTGTGGGTTAATGCACTGATCTGAGTCAGTATGAACAGAAAGGTCTGCAGTTCAAACTTACCAGCCACTCCTCAGAAGCCCTATACAGGGTCACTATGGGTCGGAACTGACTCAATGGCACTTGACAACAACAACAACCTCTCCAAGACTGAGCTTCACAAGAACAGGTGCTGTTGACTTCTCTTTGCCTTCCTAGCACCTAGTACAATGCCAGGCACAAAATAATTGCTTAATAAGTATCTGAAACAGATTGGAATGAACTCATTCTTGGGGACTTGAGGGATTTATCTTTATTTTGATTTAGACATCAACAGTCTTAACTGTTATTTCCAAAATTTACCTGTAGGCGTATGTGTGGGTTTTATTCCCAGACCTGACATTACTGGCACCTTATATATTCTGACAGGTGTTTCCTGACTAGGTCAAGAGGCGCTTTGAGTTCTATGAAGGGAACTCATTTTCTCAGATGTCCAAAACTGCCATACTTTGGAATCCTCCTTGTCCTTCCCTCTATTTAATTGTTCACATGTCCTAACCACTCACTCCTCCCAACCTGTTAATCTCCCTCTCTTCCTGGCCAGGTCAGCCTGATCCACAACATGTGTTCCAGTTGTCTGTCAGCCAACATCCTAAAATGGAACTGAATCCCTCTTCTGATTAAAGACCTTTATTGACACCCACCATTTACAACATTAAAAACTCTTAACTCCTGAGACTTTCTTTCAGTATGTTCCAGCTTGTCCCCAACTTTCCACTCATTTCTCACGCACCTTGGACTTCACTGAAATTGGACCAGGGTTTGGGATTTGGGATCAAGTTCTCCCTCCTTTGGTTGCTTATGAAGATCTCCCTTTATAGATCCACACAGCAGGTAAGGGTCTCTGATTTGGGACCCCGGTTGACTCCTATTCTAATCTTGGCTCTCCTTTGGGCAATAGCACTTAATCTCTGAGGCACAGATTTTTCATCTGTTAAAGACAAAAACACCTAACTTGCAAGACTGCAAAGGTTCAAGATACCTGTCATGTAGCGGACATTCAATGAACTTATTATTTCTGTTGTCATTGCTACCAAGCCGGCCTTTGGAACTCTGGTTCAATATGGGCTGCATTTGCTTTGTATTACAGCTAGTTTTGGACAGGGATAGCTCAACAATGAGACTGCATACCTGCTGTGGACAGGGTTCATGGTTCACTCCTGGAGCACCTAAAGCCTGGCACAAAACCTGATCTTATGGGCAATCAGGACCCCTCGTGTAACGCTGTAGGAAGAACTATAAGTTCGGTGGTTCAGACTCACCAGCTAATCCTTGGAAATCCTACACAGGGTCGCTATGAGTCGGAACCGACTTGATGGCACGTAATAACAACAAATGGGCAATCAATCCTTGGTGAATAGATGAAGAAAGAGGCAGAAAGAAACGTTAAAAAGACACAGGCAGAAAATGGCAGAAAGATGCTGGGAAGCAGAATCTTTCCTTCAGTACCCACCTTGGAAACCCTATACAGGGTAGCGATGGGTCGGAACCGAGTCGACGACACCTAACGAACACCAACAACAGACAGACATGGAGTCCGGCACACAAGGGGCGGGGCCTGAGCCAGGGGCGGAGCTTGACATGGGCCCCTCCCCGGTCCGTCTGCGATCGCGCTCCGCTGGTTCAGTCCGCCGCAGCAGGGTCCGGGCGCTGACCCAAGGCGATCTGTCGCACGGGGTCGGGGTGCGGCATCGACATGCGCCCCTTGCTCAGCCTCCTCCTGATCTTCTCCGGCTGCACCTTCGCCCTGTATTTGCTGTCGACGCGACTGCCTCGTGGGCCAAAACTGTACTCCGCCGAGGAGACTGGCGGCAGGTTCGTTGCGGGGCGGCGAGAATTGGGATTTGAGTCAGAAAGAGTGAGTCAGGTCCGAGGTGGGTTCTGGGGACCGTATATTCGGATTCCGGTTGGGATGTGGAGCTCGCTGCCGGGACTGAGATAACGGCTCTGGCGTACCGGCTGAGTCTTCGCGGTCTCGGGTTGGATGAGTGGATGGGAACCCTGGCGGGACCTGTTGGGTGATTGCTGCCAGCAAAGTGAATAGGACGCGCGGGTACCTCCGCGGCGCAGCCGGCCCGCGCTCCGAGGCTCCGGTCTGGACCAGCCTCGGTCCCGCCACTTCGCCCTAATCCACGTCGGCCATCTCTCTACCCTTGTGACTTTAAGTCATTCAGTCTTAATGAAAAATGTTGCTTGGGCGACGTCAGAATCACGAATTAATTATGGGATCGTCCCCTCTTCCTATCTTATCCTTTCCCTTTACGAAGAACAACTATTAGAGGCAGGAGGCAGAACACCTACGAGTCAGGTTTGTTGCAGATATAAAGGGCCTGGAAATGAGCCTGGCACCTAACATTGTGCTGCCAGCAGATGTTACTGACATTTGAATTTTAGGACACTGTTTTCATTATTATGCTCAGCTACTGATGTCAGACATATTAAGAGAGGCATTTTAATAAGAAGTGGGGATGTTTGCTCAAATTAATCAGATTACAGAGGCAAGGTAGACTTTACACTGTCACCCTTGAACAGGATTCAGAGTGCGCTGAAGGCCAGAGTAAAAGCAGGATGAAACAGCAGGCTCTTTGAAAGGGTTGATTTAAGCCTTGGCCTACCATCAAGAAAGTTAGGTTTATAGTGTGGGACAGAGCTGCTTTCCCGGAGACTCTCTAATTGGCAGTCACTTTGTGACGAATATAGCAGTTGTTTTTCCTAGTAACTCAAGGAAATCTGAATTGCAATTAATCTCAAGCCTGGGGGAAGGTACCCTAAGAGAGGAAAGTAGGACCTTTAGTACTTACTGGACATGAATCCATTTGCTTCTTCAGGATAGATCCTAGCATCTGAAAGCTAAAAGGGAACTTATTGTTGTTAAGTGCTGTCGAGTCGGTTCCGATTCATAGCGATCTTATATAGGGTTTCCAAGAACTGGCTGGTGAGTTTGAACTGACTCCTCATTTTTGAGATAATGAAACTGAGTCTCTCAGGTCACCAACAAATGACACAAACCACATGCTTTGCTACTGCATGGATAAACCCTTTACTCACAAGATACAGCGTAAGATCAACTTCAGTTGTGCCCACTAGTCTCCCATGGCCAGCAAGGCTCCCCTTACTTTGTGACTAGTGCAGGAAAAGTGTTCCACACATATCCCTCTTGTACTCTAGTTGAAGGAGACCCTATTTCTTCCCGGCCAGGACAAATACAAACATAGGTAGACCAGGTACCATATGGTTCCTGTACATGTGCAAGAGACAGAAAAACTATTGTGTGTCTAGAACAGGGAGGAAGGTTTTCTGATAAGGAGAAGGGACCGGAAGAAACAAAGAGACCAATTCCCAGCCTCCTTATCAGAGAATGTTCTAGGCTCAGAGCTTCTGTTTAGGCAGCTCAGATAGGAAATGTAGAAGCAACTATCCTCTCAACACAGAGACTAGTCCAAGGTCACACAACTGGGTAGTAGGAGCATTGGGATGCTCACCCAGGTCTCTTGCTTCCAAACCAGGGCCCTTCTGTCTCCATTTTCTGTTACCCATCATCTTGGGCTTATGTATGCGTTCCTCATAGACCAGGAGATGATAGGTTGTTGTTAAGTACTGTGGAGTCGGTTCCGACTCACAGTGACCCCGCACAGGGTTTCTGAGGCTGTAAATCTTTATGGGAGCAGAAAGCCTCATCTTTCTCCCGCATAACAGCTAGTTGTTTTGAACTGCTGACCTTGAGGTTAGCAGTCTTATTTGTAACCACTACACTACCAGAGCTCCTTAGATGATGGGTAGGTTGCTAAATTTACTTTGGAAAAAAGACAACAGCGAACACTAGGCTAATATGAACTCATATTCCCATCTGCTTCTCCAATCCCCAGATCGCTGTGGTTTCCCTCAGACCTGGCAGAGCTGCGGGAGCTCTCTGAGATTCTTCGAGAGTACCGGAAGGAACACCAGACCTACGTGTTCCTGCTCTTCTGCAGTGCCTACCTCTACAAACAGGGCTTTGCCATCCCTGGCTCCAGCTTCCTGGTCAGTGCCCAGAGCTCCCTCTATGCTTGCCAGGAACTACATTCTCTCTGTAGAGAGGCCTATTGCTACAGATCCTACAGAGTTGAGGACAGACGACTAGAGTTCCCATTTGTTGACAGCTTCCCATGTGTCAGACACTCTCCTTGTCCTAGTTGCTCTGCATGTATGGCATTACACCTGCTTCTCCTTGATCAACTCTCTCATTAGCCAACTTCACATTTATAACTACTCACCCCCCAGTGCTCCCAAAGATAGAGGCATTTTGGGATTGTGGAGGGGATGAGTTGGGGCCATCCATTCTGAAATATGGTGAGTACCCTGGGAATAGGGAGGAGACAGCACTTGGTCTATCCAGGCTCCGGAACCTGGGTAGCCTGCCCCTGTGGGCAGCAGTGAGGGCCCCAACTCTACCAAGGCAGTGTGAGGGCTGGAGAGTTGGCAGTGGCCAGTGACCTCACAGGGCCCAGTGGAACATTCACTGATGCGGTCATCCTCCATCTTCACATGATGCCAGTTTTCACATAACAACCTTGTCTTTGGAACCCAGTCATGTCGATGAGTGAGGAGCGGCTGTATTTAGTCCTCACAACAGCCTTACCAGAAGTTAAGTGACCATCTTAAGGTGACGTGGTGAATAGGGGACATGGCTGGGCTCTGCCTCTACTGTATTGTTGTTATTAAGTGCCATCAAGTCAGTTTTGACCCATAGTGACCCTGCCCAGGGTTTCCGAGGCTGTAAATCTTTACGGGAGCAGAAAGCCTTATTTTTCTCCCGCGGAGCAGCTGGTAGTTTCGAACTGTTAACCTTGCGGCTCACAGCCCGATTTGTAACCATTCCGCTATCAGAGGGCTGCTTTTATTTGTAAGACATCGATGACTTTGGAAAGCTGTGTTTGGCACACACACACACACCTCTGCCTATAATATAGAATATTATGATAATGTCTTAGAGTTGTCATAATAGTCTATATTTTGGCACTAATTTTTTTTTAATTGTGGTACAAATTTATATAACAAAGATATGCCAGTTCAACAATTTTTACATGTATAATTCAGTGACGTTAGTTCCATTAATTATGTGTGCAACTATTACCACTGCCATTTTCCAAATTAACCTGTTAATATTAAGAAAAATTCAGTGCCCCTAGGCAATGTTTGCCCCCGTTTTCCCCTCCCTCTTGCTTTTGATCACCACTAATAAAATAATAAAATATATTTCCCTATTTCATCTAAGTGGGATCATATATGTTGTTAAGTACCATGGAGTCAGTTCCGACCCATAGTGACCCTGCACAGGGTTTCTGAGGCTGCAGATCTTTACGGGCGGGAGCAGAAAGCCTCATCTTCTGCGGAATAGCTGGTAGTTTTGAACTGCCGACCTTAGCTTAGCAGCTTGATTCATAACCACTACGTTACCAGAGCTCCTTGGGATCATATATAGTATTTGTCATATTCACTCACCATAGTGTTTTCAAGGTTCATCCATGGTGTAATGTTGCAAAAACCAAGTGGAGGCTGTGTCTGATTTTCTCTGTTTCACAAGGGAGAAAGAGAATCAAACTCTTGTGAAACCAGAGGAAGTCAGACATGTAAGATCAGACATGCTTCTGCCTTACAACCTTCTTTACCTTACTCTGACATCAGCCCCCCTTAATAAGTAGCCCCCAGCACTCTGCTTCACATCTGGGTGTGATAATCCATTGCAATGGCCACACATGACTATGAGGCCAGAGTGAAGCGTGCCTGCAGTACAGCAGAGAAGATCCATTCCTGACTGGAGAACTGCTGTATCCTGAGTTGGTTTTGTTCGGTCCTTGGGCAGAGAAGTTCTGTCTTTCCATACCACCCACCTCTGCTTTCACCACTTTTCTAGGTAGGGATCTAACACTCCACTCATGGGCTTCTTTCTTGATGGTCCTGGCATTGTCTGTTCTTGCTTTTGAGATGGCTCCTTTTAGAGCTGGCAGAATGACAAAACTAACCAAGCCCAACCCGAGAGTCTTGTATACCTTATTTGCATGGTCCCACCCAAAATTATGTTAGCTAGAAAAGCCAATCAAATAAATTCAGGGTACCACAAGTTGTAGCTAGACTTCATTTCTCTTTATGGCTGAGTAATAGTTTGGAGTCCTGGTGTGGTGCTACAGGATAATGTACTGGACCCTAAGGTCAGTGTGCATAGCCAGGTCAGTGGTTCAAACTTACTAGTCGCTCCTTGGAACAGACTCGACGTCACTTAACAACAACAGCAATGATATTCCATTGATTCGATATATTGCATTTTATTTAGTTATCTGTTGATGGATTTAGGTTGTTTTTGGCACTTTTAAAAAAAAAATTGTTTTTCCTTTTTAAAAATCTGTTTTCTTTACTAGTCTGTGAGGTCCTAGGCTCAACTTTGTATTCCTTTCCCTAGTCCAAGGAAGTGCATTAATAAATGTCTGCAGAGGGAATGAAAGTGGTTTGTGATGGTGTTGGGCTGAAGAGGCTTGGAAGCTTCCCAGGTTCGGAGAAGGTGATTGTGATTTCCCAGGCGGCCCTCGCTGGCTCTCAGGAGCTGTTGTATATTTCTCATCAGTTGTCATTTCAGGTTCTCTGGAAGAATGTGTGCTCTCTTCCCAGCAGCGTTTTAAGCTGGTTCATATACATGGATATGTAGATTAGGACTTAAAGTGGGTTTCAATACCATAGATTTAAAGAGCTTTTGAGCATTCACAACAATCCAGTGTTTTATAGATGCTGAAACTCAGAAATTAGGTTTCTTGCCCAGTCACTAGTTAGTTAATGACAGAACCAGGGCTAGAACCCACATCTCCTAATTTCCACTCTTGTACCATTTTCTTTAAGGTAGCCTTGCTTCTTCTCATCCGTCTCTGCATTGCTACTCTGTCCTTCACTTTCAGATCAATCGGTGTTACTGCTTGGCAAATATTATCTTGGTTGGAAAAAGAGCAGAACAGAGTCCTTCTGCTTGTTCCTTGTCACTTAATTTTCTGAGACAACCCAATTCATTCCGTTTAGAGATAACAAGGTCACTAATGCTGTTCTCAGCCTCTGCTCTGTCAGAAATGAAGGAAACTACACTGGAATGTTAAAATGGAGTTCTTTCAATATGAATTTTGACTGCAGGTTCAAAAGAATGAAACAGTAGATGCCTAACTACTTATGCAAAAGGAATAGTTAAAAAATGTATATATATATATATACATACATATATATGTCGGTTAGTTGGTTATGTGCTATGGAGTCGGTTCCGATCCATAGTGACCCTGAACAGGGTTTCCGAGGCTGTAAATCTTTATGGGAGCAGAAAGCCTCATCTTTCTCCCACGGAACAGCTGGTAGTTTCGAACGGCTGACCTTGCGGTTTGCAGCCCAATTTGTAACCACTATGCTACCAGAGTTCCTTATACACACACACACACACACACACACACACAAAATATATATAGATATATAGATATATACAGATCAGCCTCAAACTCATCCTTCTGTCCTCCTCTCTCCCCTGCCCCAGCATCTTGTCTCTACTCTGGAATCAGGTTGGACTCACTAATGCAAGTTCTTTGTTGGTAACTGGAAGAAAAATCTAATTGTCTATACTAATAGAAACAGGGTAGATAGGTAGGCCTAGAGGCTGAGGACTAACTGCTTGGGGTTACCCGTGCACCCTGTCTTCCCTTTTGAGATGATTTTGCATCAGGGCAAAAAGCCACTGCTACTCTTGATGACCTCACACCCACATCTGTGGGTGAATCCCAGCCTCTACCTAGTGTTATGTTGGGCAAGATCCTTAAATTTTTGACCTGCAAAGTGGGGCCATCATAGTAGCCATGCCACAGGGTTGTGTTGTTGTTAGGTGCTGTCAGGTCAGTTCTGACTCATAGTGACCCTATGCACAATAGACTGAGCCACTGCCTGGGTCTTGTGCCAGCCTCACAATTGTTACTCTTCAGCCCATTGCTGCTGCTATTGTGTCAGTCCATCTCGCTGGGGGTCTTCCGCTTTTGGGGTGACCTTCCACTTAATTAAGCATGATGTCTATCTCCAGGGACAAAGTCTCGCCATCCTCACTTCTAAGAAACTTTCTATCTGTACTTCTTCCAAGACCAGGTTGGTTTGTTCTTCTGGCAGTCCAGGGTACTTTCAGTATTCTTCGCCAACACCATTATTCAACTGCATCAATTCTTCTGTGGTCTTCCTTGTTCATTGTCCCAACTTTCACATGCATATGAAGCTACTGAAAATACCATGGCTTGGGTCAGGTGCACTTTAGTCCTCACACTGACATCTTTGCTCTTGAACACTTTGAAGAGGTCTTGTGCACCAGATTTGCCTAATGCAATACATTGTTTGATTTCCCACAAGCTGCTTCCATGAGCGTAGATTGTAGATCCAAACAAATCAAAGTCTTTTAACAACTTCAATCTTTTCTCCACTTACCACTATGTTAATTGTTAGTCCATTTGTGAGATGTTTGTTTTCTTTACGTTGAGGTACAACCCATACTGAAGACTGTGGTTTTTAATCTTCATCAGTATTTTAAGTCTTCTTCGCTTTCAGCAAGCAAGGTTGTATCATCTGCATATTGCAGGTTGTTAATAAGCTTTCCTTTAATCCTGATGTCACATTTTTCATATAATCCAGCTTCTCAGATTATTTGCTCAGCATAGAGGTTGAATAATGCAATGAAAGGAAGAACAGGGTTGTGGTGAGGATAAAATGAGACACAGCCAAGCACTTAACACATAGTAGACGGTGTGCCAGTTGAAACCCATCTTTTTAAGTGTCAGCTAGAGCTCTGGTCAACATGAAACATACCACATATATGTAATTCCAGCAAAAATAAAGAAACAGGACATTTTCTATGACTTGTATTACTTTACTGAAAGAACATTTACGGATTGTCCTCATCACTGGAAATAGAAAATTAACTTGAGTTTTGTTTCAACCTCCTTGGAGCCCCAATGATTGTGCAGTGGTCTGGGTGCTGTTACCCATTACCTAATTCAACTCCTGCCTTCTGAGGTTTCAATCTGTAGCCCTACTTTAAAGGTGAAGAGTCTGAGACTTTTCATGACCTTTTATTCACCGCTTTACCCGACTCGAATGCACTTAACAACAACAACAATTAAATGGGAGCTGGGCTTTGACTGGGCAGACAGCTCACCGGCTTCAGATGCTCTTCTGGCTGACTGCTTGTTCTCTTCACAGAACGTTTTAGCCGGAGCCTTGTTTGGACCATGGCTGGGGCTTCTCTTGTGCTGTGTGCTGACCTCAGTGGGCGCCACATGCTGCTACCTGCTTTCCAGTATTTTTGGCAAACAGTTGGTGGTGTCCTACTTTCCTGATAAAGTGGCCCTCCTACAGAGGAAGGTAAGGTGGGGAGGGGGAGCACATGACATAATGGACCCCCAGATGCCCCTTGTGACCCTGAGATGAGTAAGGAGCCGGATTTCCGGCCGTTCTCCTCTATCCTTGTGGTCCAAGAATCTGGGGCTTACGGGTTGTTTTGATCCCTGTAGGAGACACATTTGGGATCAAATCCCAGCTTCACCATTACAGCTCTGTGATTCTGAGCAGGTTCCTGAGTCCTCTGACCAGGGTTTCCTATTTTTTTTTAAATGGGGTAATGATCTCTGCTCTGGAGGGTTGGTGGGAGAGCTGGGAGCAGAGATGTACAGAGTCTCGAGCAGTCGCTGCCTCTCCCAGGTTTAATACCTAGGCACTCTTCCTGTGTCTTAATGGCCTTGCCCTCTTTTGCTACAGGTGGAGGAGAACAGAAACAGCTTGTTTTTCTTCTTACTGTTTTTGAGACTTTTCCCCATGACGCCAAACTGGTTCTTGAACCTCTCGGCCCCGATTCTGAACATTCCCATCATGCAGTTCTTCCTGTCCGTTCTTATTGGTAAGCTTCTGGGTCTGTTTGAGTCCTCAGAGTCGTCTGTCATGTGTGTGAGCTGCCCCAGGTCACCAGCCACGTGGGTGTGTGCCCAGCTCTGAGAGCACAGTCTCACGAGGAACATCTTAAGGCTGTAGGATCAAGAGTAACTAGGCCTGGCGTCACATTTGCTCAGGCTTCACCATGAGAACCTCTGAAAATGCTTTTAGAAGAAATAAACTTCCTTCATCCTGCAGATGAGGCCTGTTGTGGGCCTGCTCTGTGCTAGGCGCTGGGATTAGGAGCACATGACTTGGGAAAGAGTAAGTGCTCAGTCAGTACTGGCAGGACAAGCAGGGTTGGATGGAGGCTGTGTGGACAGGGGTTTGGGGTGGAGGGCAGAAGAAATGAGCAGAGTCAGGTGACTTCCTGTTTGGTTCTGATCCCTGTTAACAGTTAAGATCTGTGTTAGGAAGAGCTGGAACCTATGAAGGTCCCTCTTGCCTTTTGACAATTAAATGGCCTTCAGCAAGGTACTTACCATCTGTGGGCTACTCAGCCAGATGAGGGGCTAGGACTATGGCAGCGTTTCCCAAAGTGTGGCCCGTAGTCCATTTTTATCAGAATGATTAGATCAGGGGGTTTGTTAAGAATGTAGCCCTTAAGGCCCTCTCGATTCAACGAATCAAAATGTTGGGAGTGGGACCTGGAAATAAACTTTTTAATCCAATCCTTAGTCAGCACACAATAATTAAATTATAATTTCTGGAAGTGTATACTGGAATCAGTATTTTTTAAAGTTTTCCAGAACATTCCAGTGTCCAGGAGTAGCAGGTCTTCAGCAGGGATTCTGCTGTATCCTGAGATTTGCAAGCTGCTGGGCTAATAATGGTTTCTAGTCTCTCTCAGTGCTGATATTGTATGACGTCCTGAGCATTACTTTCTCCCTGTTAGAGCCAAAGTTAAGATTGCCTTCTCTTCTCACTTCCTTAGATCATGGAGTGAAAGACACTGCACGGTGTCTAGGTCAAGCATAACAAGTCCATAGTTGGGCAGCTGCTTTTAATGGAGATTTCCTGAGAGATACTGAGGTCTTGAAGAGATCCATCACACATAATTCTGGTCATACTTGATTTCCAACAGTGCATCAGCCCCTCAGTTAATGGGGGTTGTCAGCTGGTGACTGACATAGATAACACTAGGTTTGGAACGTCTGAAGACTGACATAGATAACACTAGGTTTGGAACGTCTCTGAAGACTGACATAGATAACACTAGGTTTGGAACGTCTCTGGAGACGTGGTCTGGCCCAGCCCCCCATATCACAGGCTGTGTGACCTTGGATGGTTTGTGACCTTGGGGCTTCATGTACTAAAGAAATGGAATGGATTATCAGGAAGTTCCAAAGCAATCGGAATCTCTAGGGTGGGAGACTTTTAAAGTGCAGGTTCCTGACCCACTTAAGCAGAATCTTTGGAGTGGAGTCCGAGAATGTTTCCAGTAATGGAATTGTGATGCAGCCAGCGTGTCCAGCCACAGTTAGACTTCTGGGCTGTAGCTAGAAAGTCTCGTAGAGAAGGGAGGGGGTTGGTGAAGACCATGAAGAGTAGCACTTCTCAAAAAGTTGAAGTTGAAGAAAATTAAAACAAGTCTAAGGGATCAAACGCATGATCTTGAGTGTTGGTGTTGTTGTTAAGTGCTGTCAAATTGGCTCTGTCTCATAGCAACCCTGTATAGGGCTTCCAAGGAGCAGCTGGTGAGCATGAACTACCGACCTTGTGGTTCAAGCCGACCTTGCGATCCAGTGCTAATCCTGCAACATCTGAATGTAGAGACCATCGCAAGAACAGATTTTACACATTGAACACTAATGACCACAGACCAGATGACTTGTGGGCATCAGAGACAGTCATTAAAAGATAGAAAAGAAAGACCAAAATGGATGTCAGAAGCACCTCTGAAACTTTTAATTTTTTTTTTATGAAAATTAATCGAGATATTTAATAGACAGTGCAAACCATAATTTCATCTGAATATAAATGTATGTACATGTTTCCAATGAATTATCTATCAGTTATCACAAACAGCAACAAGGACCTTAGAGCTAAGTTAGAAAAATGTATCGCTAGAATTTAATTCTAACAATCTCATTTGCTCTCAAGAGAATACCATCCATTTCCAATCAGTGTTACAAACTCCAAGAGAAAGGGGAGGGTGTGGGAACGAGGAGTAGGCCAGAGTGGTAAACACAAGAGGCAGCACACAGGTGGTAGACAGAAATACAGCTCTCCAGGAAATCAAAATCAGATGCATTATTACAGCTAAGGACAAGGAAAAGCCTATGGCTTCTAAAAACAACGTGAAACTTATTTTTGAATGTTGTTGTTAAGTACCGTCAAGTCAGTTCCTACCCATAGCGACCCTGAACAGGGTTTACGAGGCTGCAGATCTTTACAGGAGCAGAAAGCCTCATCTTTCTCCCGCAGAGCAGCTGGTAGTTTCAATCTGCTGAACTTGCGGTTCACAGCCTGATTCGTAACCACTACGGTAGAGGAGTAAAATGAATGAAAGAACCAATGACGTAAAAGAGCTGAACAGAAGAGTTCAAAAGGCAATTTTAAAAGATAAATTATTATAACGCAATGTGCAAAAACTTGGAGTTAGAAAACCGAAAGGAAAGAGCATGCTCAGCATTTCTCATGTTAGAAGAATTGGAGAAAAAAATTCAACCTCGGATTGCAATATTGAAGGATTCTATGGACAAAATATTGAATGATGCAGGACACCGAAAGTAGGTGGGAAGAACACATAGAGTCACTGTACCAAAAGCACTGGTCCACGTTCAGCCATTCAGGAGGTAGCATATGATCAAGAACTGATGGTACTGAAGACCGAAGTCCAAGCTGTACTGCAGGCACTGGGGGAAAACAGGGCTTCAGGAGTTGATGGACTACAAATTGAGATGTTTCAACAATTGATAGAATCACTCACTCATCTATGCCAAGAAATTTGGAAGAAATCCATATATGTGTGCTCTTTCCAAAGAAAGGTGATCAAATGATGTGGAAATTATCCAATAATATCATTAATATCACATGCAAGTAGTATTTACTACAGATAAAACAATTATAGCAGTACATCAATAAAAAACTGTCAGAAATTCTAACTGGATTCAGAACAGGGTGTGGAATGAGGAGTATCATTTTTTATATCAGATGAATCTTGTCTGAAAACACAGACTGCCAGGAAGATGTTTATCTGTGTTTTATTGACTAAGCAAATGCTTTTGACTATGTAGATCATAACAAACTATGGAGAACATTGGGAAGAATGGGTATTCCAAAACAGCTAATTGTGCTCATGAAGAACTGTACGTAGACTAAGAGGCAGTCTTTGAAACAGAACAAGGGAATAGTGCCTGGTTCAAAATCAGGAAAGGTGGGTGTCAGGGTTGTATCCGTTCACTTTACTGGTTTAATCTGTATTCTGAGTAAATAATCTGAGATGCTGGATTCCATGGAGAAGAATGGTACATCACGATTGGAGGGCAGATGATACCAACCTACTTACTGAAAGTGAAGAGGACTTGAAGGATCTACTGATAAAGATCAAAGATTAGAGCCTTAAGTATGGAGTATACCTCAACATAAAATAAAAATCACAGTTGGACTAATAAACAGCATGGTGATAAATGGAGAAAATATTGAAGCTGTCAATGATTCATTTTATTTGGATCCATAATTAATGTCCATGGAAGGAGCAGTCAAGAAATCCAACAATAATAGACTGCGTTGGATAAAAATGCTGTATAAGACCCCTTTAAAGTGTTAATAAGCAAAGATGTCACTTTGAGGACTAAGATGTGTCTGCCCAGGGAATAAACAGTGTGTTCAGTTGCTTCATATATATACATGCAAAAGATGGACAAAAAGTAAAGAAGAATTCAAAGCTGCCTTTGAATGAATGGTTTTGACAAGGGGTGTTGAATGTATTATAGACTGCCAGATGAATGAACCAATGTGTGCTGGAAGAAGTAGAACCAGAATGTTCTTAGAAATGAGGGTGATGAGACTTTGTCTCTTGTACTTTGGATATATTATCAGGAGGGTCCAGTTCGTGGAGAAGGACATTGAGCTTGGTAGAGTCAGTGAAAAAGAGGAAGGCCCTCAGTGACATGGACGGACACAGTGGCTGCACCACAGCCGTGATTTTCAGATGGGGCAGGGACAGGTAGTCTTGTGCAGGCAGTCACTCTCAGTTGGACACCACCACCAACTCTTAAAAACGAGTTCATTTTTATTTTATGCACACTGTAAATGATGGTATGTCCTTCTTTACTTTGGCTGCTGGGTCTCAGAGCCAAATTTGGGCCCACCTCTTGCAAATGAGATTTACATATTCTTGTATTCAATTTACTCCATGATTTACTGTATTCATCTACACTACATTTTGCTTTTTTTTTTATCTTACTGAAAAAGTATATATGTTTTTGTAAATCACCGCAAGTCCTTTTTTTTTTGAACAAGGCGGGTTATATAGGAAGCGAGGGAAAGAAGGAAGGAGGGAAGAGGTGGGGAAGAAGGAAGGAGTCAGAAAACCTGCAGTCCTGCTGTGTGTTCCTGGTGACTGTTGTGGAAGGCGGTTTTTCTTTATTTTCCTGCTCCCAGTAACAATTCTCCTTTTCTCCTGCCAGGGCTGATACCATACAATTTCATCTGCGTGCAGACAGGCTCCATCCTGTCGACTCTTACCTCTCTGGATTCTCTGTTCTCCTGGGAAACTGTCCTTAAGCTGTTGGCCATTGCCCTGGTGGCCTTAGTTCCTGGGACCCTCATTAAGAAATTTAGCCAGAAACACCTGCATTTGAATGAAACAAGCACCACTTATAGTCTAAATAGTAAGAAAGGCACGTGATTTGGACTGTCAGGCCATGTTTATTTATGGAATGGGTTTGGTCCTCTAAAGCCCCTATTGATGTTTCATTATTACCCTAAACCTACCAGTCGCTCCTCAAGACTAACTTGATGGCACTTAGGGACAGCCCTAAACCAATGACTTGGATTCTGTTCATCTGTGGGCAATGCCTTGTTATGAAAGACATTCTGTGTTCTAGAAGGTGAATTACGTCAGGTGTGTTCTCAAACTAGCCCTGGTTTGGCAGGGCATTCTGAGAAATGAATGGCCTCCTAGAAAACCCCGTCTGTGTTTCATGGACCAACAAGGGGACTCAGGATATGTTGTATTTGCCTCTTGTCATGCCCTGAGCTGTCCTTCTCCAGGGTGCCTCTGCCCCTCTTGTGACAGGGGGCTCCTGTTGAGTCCCTTGCTAATGTTATTAGGGTCAATGGCGACATTTCTTATGTTAGTCTATTGAATGTTTCTTCTGTCATTTTGTGTTGATCTACCTCTTCGATAAACCAAGAGAAACAAGTTGACGAACTGCATGAGACTTCACAGACAGCTCAGAGGCATGACTTCTGTGATGCTGTTTGTCTTCAGCCACACTGACGTTACCATATGTCGCAAACCTCCTCATGGTTGCATATCCTAACAATTAAGCTGATGGCAAACTGACTATTAAATGTGAATGGAACAAACTAGGTTATAGAGAAATTCTTGCCCATCTGGTTAGGGCAGGCCCTTGGCTTAGCTGAGTCAAATGACCATCACTACATGTTCTAGTCTTTCATTTCTGTTTCCTTTGAGCATTCTGCTGCTAGGATGGAAACAGCACATTAGGGTACCAGCCACAGTACTCGGAATGGGTTTCATTTTGTCATTTGCCAAATGAATTGAGGAATAATTTTACCTCAATTCTAAAAAAAATTTGGTTTCGTATTTATGTATTGTCTTTGTAGCCTTGTTGCTTCCACAGCTGTAGTTCTGAGTTGGCATAGATCTGGGTTAATGGAGCCAAGGGCAGAAGAACCTCAGCACCTACGTTGCCTGGCTCTGTGATCCTATGGCCTACTTAGAATAACTCATCATTACCAGATTGTTGCCTGTGGGCATCCTCTGCTGGGTTTGTCACTTGGCTTGGCCAAGAATGTTGCCAAGAACTTTAATACAGGCCTCGTATTTCTTATTCTACATGAATTCTTGGGCATACTCGTGTAAGAAGAATGGATCCCCAAGTTGTATTTTATAGACATGGTATAATCCTTTCATACCAAAGAGTTCATTTAAAAATCTGTTTCTTTAAAAGAAATCTTGATAGCAAGAGTGGGGTAGGATAAGGGGGAGCTTGGAAGTTGTGGCACTGTTCTGGGGAGGGCAAGAGAAGGAGAAACATGAGTTTTGTGTATGCCCTTTGCCCTTTATCAGCTTCCTAAAATATTCTTCCTCCCCCAGTTTTGCAACAATGTGCCTTATTACTTGTGAGTTTACAGGATGTCAGTTTCCCAAATAAATGGATATAATTGTTCTGTGTGGTGCTTCTTTGTACATGTTACTAATTTTCACTTACCCTCACCAGTGGGAATTAGGATTGGTTGGAAAATCAAACAATCCAAAATGGGGTTTCATCAGGTCTGGAAGTGAACCCTCTCCCCCCGCCCCCCCAAGGCTCAGTTTCCAGCCAAACAATAGGTAACTCTCTAAATGGAACAATTAAATTATGTAGGTATTGCATTGTTGTTAAGTGCCCTTGAGTTGATTCCAAGTCATAGCATAGCAACCCTGTGTAATAGGGTTTCCAAGGAGCAGCTGGTGAGCTTGAACCACCGACTTTACAGTTCAAAGGGCTTCACAGTGTGATGCATTAGCCCACAGCACCACACCAGGACTCTGAGATCAGAAAGATAGCATTTACCTAAGGACATAGTTCAGAAGGGTTAGGAAAGGAGGAATGGAAACAGGAAACACAGGGAGGATGTGGGATAAGTGACGTTACATTGTGGGGATTGTAATCGGTGAGATGAAACAATATGTGTATGAATGATCCAATGAAAACTGATCTGTAAACTTTAACCCAATTCAAAATAAAAAGTTTTGTAGTTTTCAAAAAAAAGTATTTTAGTTTTCTACTGTCAGTAAGGCTCTTACCAACATTACTCATTGGAAACTAGGTTCTCATTTTTGTCTTTTTCCTCTCTACTCACTTTATAGTAGGATCACTATCAGGAATGAACAGCTATAAAACAGCCATAGGGAAGAATAGAAGGCCTTTGTAGACTTTGACAGAATAATCAAGAAGAGACTGTTACCAAAAGAGATCGGTGATCATCTCTCTTGTGATTAGATCTGAAACAAGAGTCACAGAAACCAACTTTCCTTAGTATATAGCTCCCTGCTTCAGGAAACGCTGTGAGCTAAAGCTTTCCCTAAGGTTCTGACAAATCCTGAGAGGCCACTTCTTGTTACGGCTGTTCCCAGGACACAAATGGTGCCATCAGAAAGAGAGAGGGCCAGAAATCAATGGAATGCACTTTTTGTTTAATTCCTACTGCTGTACATTTTGTTCAGTATAAAAAAGAAATTGGCTTCGAAAAACAACATGGAGCAGAATTAACAACAGGACCTCAGGAGATACAGACTGTGGAGTTCATGTTTAGACTAAACCAAGAAAAGGAAATGTATCTGCTCCAGATTGACAGGAACTCACGTTATCGCAGTAGTAAACAGTCAAAATGATTCTTCCTACTTGTGGAGTCTGGGAAGCAGTCACTCTAGAGGTGGAAAGCCACCCAGGCAATATGATCCATTGTTGTTTAGGTGCCATTGAGTTGGTACTGACTCATAGTGACCCTATGCACCACAGACATCTGATAGCTCGAACATCCAGCCTGAACCATTGGAGGACCCTGTCCACCTGGTCACCAGCCAGCAGGCAGTGGCCAGGAGCCAGCGTTCTCCTGAGTGTTGTGAAGTGGCTCTAGAGATTAGACTTGGCATTCTGCGGAAAGTCTCTACTGCCATCTGTTTAGGACTTAGCTCAAATGCCGTTAACCCCTGGGCATGGAACAATTAACCCTACTTTTACAGCAGTCATTTCAGAGCCTCCCTCTCCTGCCACATGCCCCTGAGAAGTGTTCCAGGGTCCTCTGTAAGCAGCCTTGCTCATTCCAGTTTGGATGAGCTTTTGTACTTTCAGTTGTCCACGTGCAAACTCACAGACTAATGTGATTCAGCTGTGGCAGACTAGGAGGTTGTTAACACTGGTGGGGTGGGTTAACTCGGGCATTTAGTCTATGAAATCAGCAAAGAAGAAGAGACACCGAATTCATAGTGACAGGACAAGTCGAAGTCTTGAAAAGGGTATCACATTGTTTCAGTACCTTAGTCTCAGAGTTTAAAGAAGAAGTAACGGCCTTAAAACGTGAACTTTCTGTGTATCAAAGGTGAGAAGGAACATGCTCATTCACCGTGATGAAGTAATCTGAATTCATTGTGTTGGAATGCAATCCATGAATGATTGGTGATTTACCAACTAGAATTGTAGTCCAAAAGGATAGTGGCTGTGGCAGAAGGTAAGTGGCCTTTTCCTTGCCAATGGTTCTGCACCTGCCAGTCATAGATAGGATCCTAAGAACTCGTCATCCCCATTCCCACCAACCACTGCCATGGAGTTGATTCTGACTCATAGCAACCCTCTGCAGGGTTTCCGAGACAAATATAGGAGCAGACAGTCTCATCTTTCTCCCGTGGAGTGGCTGGTGGGTTTGAACAGCTAAGCTTGTGGTTTGCAGTCCAGTGTTTAACCTGCTGCATCACTAGGGTTCCTTCTTACCCTTGTTTTTGTTCGTAAATGCTATTGAGTTGGTTCCGACTTGTAGTGACCCTGTATAGGGTTTCCAAGGCGCGGTTGGTGTGTTTGAACAGCCGACTGTGTGGTTCACAGTTCAGTGCTGATCCTACAGTGCCACACCAGGACTCCAGTTAGGTGTAGGAAATTAATTATGACTCAGAGCTGGGATGGCACACAGATTTCCCATTGCATACTAGTTCCAATCAAGTGGTAGTTCCCGGGATGGGTTGCATGGGGTCTGAGGCCGTACAGAACACAGTAATCAGTAAATAACATCAGATTTGGGTGGTTAGGGTGCAGGTAGTAGATGGCAGTATGTGGTAAGTGGGAAAAGCAAAACTATAGCACATCATACTGAAGAGCCAGCGAAGAATTCATGTCATATTCTGGAGAAATCCGTTCCAGAAAGTTCAAGTAAGAATGATTTCAGAAAAGGGAAGCGCACTGAGATGTCACTGCTACGAGTGTAACCGACTCCATGGCCCTTAACAACAACAAAGGACATGGAGGAGAAGGAGGGAGCAGCATTTAATCAATAAGGAGGCATCCCCACTGAAAGGAAGTCAGGGTTCCACGGTGGGGGTATGTGTGTGAAATAGTCTGGGGTGGCCCAGGGAAATCCCATATCACCCAATCTATTTAGGGTTGTTGCTGAGTGCAGTCAAGTTGGTTATGACTCAAAGGGTCTCCAAATCATGTTTCCAAGGCGCAGCTGGTGGGTTTGAGCTGCCACATGCAGTTCCAGTTGACCTAAATGCTTATCCTAGGGGATATTTAGTACAATGAGATACTAAAGTTAAATGTCTAGTGCTTACTTAAGTCCTACTAACTGCCCTCCATTCTAGAAGGAGGGACTTTCTACTGAAGTCTTTAAAAGATCTGACCTTTGAGTATTGTTAAGTGTCATCAAGTCGGTTCTGACTCATAATGACCCTGTGGTTACGAATTGGGCTGCGAACCTTAAGGTCAGCGGTTCGAAACTACCAGCTGCTCCGCGGGAGAAAGATGAGGCTTTCTACTCCCATAAAGATTTACACCCTCAGGAACCCTGTACCGGGATGCTATGGGTCGGAACCGACTCGACGGCACTTAACAACAACAACAACATAGGGTTTCCAAGGAGCGGCTGGTGAGTTTGAACTGCCAGTCTTGCAGTCTAGAAATTGCAGTCTTTAAAAGATCTGACCTCCAAGTGTTGTTGTTAAGTGCTGTGGAGTTGGTTCTGACTCATAGTGACCTTATTTGGGGTTTCTGAAGAGCAGCTGGTGAATCTGAGCCACTGATCCTGAAGTTTAAACCGACCTTGTGGTCCAGTGCATTATCCCAGTGCAAGTAGGCCACACAAAAGTGTCTTACAACAGAACTGGTATCTTCACCTTCCTGAGTAGGTCAGAGCTTGCGTGCCCCATGATTTTGGAACAGATGTAAAGGTTAGTGGTGGAGAGATTCATTATCATTTCAAAGTGGATGCAGGCTTCTCAACCTCTGTGCTCAGCAATTTTAAGAGGAAATGTTATTCAGAGGCTCTGAGCTAGAAATAGATGAAGATCAGAACTAAATGTTCTTCTGCCACACAAATTAAAAACTCATTATCTTGCAGTCAGCCAAAAATAGATGCTAAATGAACATGGACATTCATTCCAAAGGATCAAACTTTCAATCAATGAGAAAGCTTGAAATCACAGTTCTGCAAGTTTCCTTTAAGCACTGGTGTATAATTGTTGGAACTGAAGAATTAGTTACATTCCCTGAGTTCACAACAACAACAACAACATGCTCAAGGAGTCCTAGTTATCCTGGTGCTGCAGGATAATGTTGTATATGGCAGTTCAAACCCATCAGCCACTCCTCGGAAACTCTATGGAGGGTTGCTCTGAGTTGGAACTGACTTGACAGTACTTAACAACAACAACATACTCATAACAGTTCATCCAGGTAAGGCGTATGGTATTATCATGACAGACAGTCAAGATGGGCATTGAGAAATGTGATCAAAATTATGAGCTAGCTAGCTGGTGATAGGTGTAAAAAAATACCCTCATATTTCTGTCACCAATGAAAATGGGCAAGAAGAATCGAACAAACTGGTGTCAATGCTTTATGTTGGACAGAAAGAGGACCTGGGTGGTAGCATCTTCATCTCTAGGAGAGATTCACAGTACAATGTGGTCTGAAGACGGGACGAAAAGTAGGGTCTTCTAAGGTACTTTTCAGATCTCTGATCCTCCAGGGAACTGGGCATCGATCTAGAATTTCTCTGTTCTTGTTATGAGATGGCATTGCAGATAAGCATTTTGTGTTGCCCTCGATGTGTATATCTCTTAGTTTAGTCTCCTTTCTATGCCAAACAAGAAGAAAAAAAGCCAGTTGTGTGAGACCTGGCACAAAAGAGAGATTACAACCTACAATGTCAATTCTTGAAACGAACCCGTGAGCCTTATATAGAAATTCTTAAGTCTTTTGCTTTCAGGGCAGTAAATAACTCTCTTTGGGCTTCTAATGCAGTCTCATGATTTTATTTCTTAAGAAATTTGAGAAAGTGTACAGCTTTTGAGCTATTTGTCCATTGTCTCAGTCCCCTCCCACCCAGGCATTTTCATTGATCAAGTCACAGACAATGCACTGGGCCCCATGGCTGAGCACGCACCCTCAGATGATTGTGGCTGCGCACAAAAAAGCAGGGGATACAACAAAGATGAATACCAAGGGAGCTCCCCATGGCAGTTCCATTTCCATCCCTTCATGAAAGTCACATCCTTCATGGTTAGCAACAAACACAGTCATTGTGCTATATGGTAAACCGCACCTTCTGATCGACAGAAAATGAGAATGGTAATAATTATTATAAAATAACAACAATAATAATGCCATAACTTAAGATCTTTCATGTAGTCCAGCTACATAATTTATACAAAATGGAATAATTTAATGCAAACAATACTGCTTTCTGTATAAGTTAAACATTTTCCTTCATCCTGACAAAGAGCTATAAATTATAGATACTAAATTATAAAATCAATGTCTCAACATAAAGTGTAAACAAACGGAGGGCTCAAACAAGCAAATGAAACAGCTTTACATTCCCTCCTGCATTTTTTTCTTTTTGGCGGATGCAGTCCATGAAACCCAGAAGAGGGGCAACACTTTCATCTGCATTGGAAATGGGTTAGTACCTCTATGTTCAAGCCTTTCCTAATGTCAAACATGACTCGATAGGTAAGAGTCCAGTATGTTTTTTCAGGTCCTAAAAAGAGAGAGGTTGTCTGACATTCACCTACCTGGGAGATAGCGACAGCAACTAGGCCAACACGTTTTTGTAGATAAAGTTCTTCTTTAAAAGCCATGGCACCATGGAGTACTTTGTGGTTTTTCAGAGCCAATGACACTGGAGACAGGAAGGACCACGTGCCTTTGACAATGTAAAATTTCTCTTATCGCTTCTCATCATCAGCATCCAAATACTCAAAACTGTACTACTGTGCACTAGAGATTCTAGCAATCCAAAATGAAGACAGATTTTTCAAAGCAGCATTTACCAGAATGCTCTCGTGGGGGAGAGAGGTTGCCTTAACGCAAGTTGCTTCTTTTGCCTCTTCTGACAGTGGTAGTCAGTGACTACACCTTTCAAGGTAGGGTGCGTTAACAGAAAAAATCAAGGGGGATGATTTTCCATTGGGCATTGGACAGGCTCATATACATCTTAGCTGTCTTCAAAGTCTGTCCCTCTGTTTGAATCAGTGTGACTGTGGGAGACAGCAGCCTGGCACCAGAGAGGGTTGATCCAATCTCATGTAGCTCAACTGAGACATTCTAAGAATGTACTTTTATTTATTACAAGGATGCCTTTCTAACACTTGTAGATTTTCTTTATCTGCTATCCTTCTCTTCCTTTTTCTTCCTAAAGGAAGTGGTCAGTCGGTGGAAAGGAGATATGCTACAAGAAAATGGCACTTAAATCTGAAAAGTCAACACACTGGTCAAGGTGACAACAATGACAATGACAATTAAAAAGGGAAGTGTCTGCCAAGGACAAGGAGTACTGCTAATTCTTACTGAATGTTCCTTACTGAAGTCTCCTTACTGAATGCTGTGTTCAGTGTAAGGAACTACAGCATCCACAGATACAGTTTCTTTTTTCCTCCTAGAGGAAGCATGTGGCCTGAAAGCCCTGGGGTATCAGGTTACCAAACACTTCTAGGTCATTTCCATTACCTATCTTGACAAGCTGGTTGGACTTAATGTGATTTGTTCACAAGTTACCTGGAATTGCTTTTCTTTAGTGATTCCCTGTTGTCTAAAATACTCGATCTATCTTGTCCTGACTCTTTTTCATCACTTATGCTCAAAAGACCTGGTCCCTATCCAAGCAGCAATATACTTCTTGGCCCCAAAATTCCCAAGGACGTTGATCTTAATTTCCATCCATCTTTCAGTTTCTTCTTTTTCGCAACAAATTATGGTGTCTCTCTTTATATATTATATATAGTTCACTCTTTACAGTACAAAGTGTTAAAATGTCAAACAAAAATAAATATCAATGTTACAGTAGCTAGAATATTCAATAAAATAGATCCCTGCCATTCTTGATTGAAATGTTCAGTGAGACTTAATTTCATTTGGATTATTTTTTTTTTTCCAGAGATTTTCCAAGTCTCATGTGCCTGTTATTGCAGCTTGTTCCTAGGAGCAGTAAAGATGGGGCAGCTCTCTCCCAGACGTGAAGCAGGGAGAGAGGGCAAGAGTCTGGGGGGCTCGGGTGTGAAATGTCAGTACGGTCATGGGTTCTTCAGGATGGGCGTTCTTTCATTACCACGTTGCAGAGCTGTAATGCTTATTGGTCCTAACTGTGGCGTCAGAACATTCACCATCTGAAGAGTCACAGTCCGATTCTTCAAACTGCATAGGATTCTGCAAAGCAAAGACAATAGAAAAAAACAATTCATTTCTCCAGTCACTCAGTAAGCATGTACTAACTACCCCTCAGTGACAGGGGTACAGAGACCTGTCCTTGTGGGGTTTCTGCAGAAAGAGGTATGTAAAGATGATGCTGGTCATGAGGTGACAGCATTACACACTGTTTACTGTGTGCCCGGCTCTGTTTTGAGTGCTTCATATCTTTTAGCTCACCCAATTCTGGTGTGGCACTGTTGGGTAAACACTGGACTGCTAACAGAAAGGTTGTTGTTGTTGTTATGTGCCCTGGAGTCAGTTCCGACTCATATCGACCCTGCACAAGGTTTCCGAGGCTATAAATCTTTACGGGAGCAGAAACTCTCATTTTCCTCCCATGGAACTGCTGGTACTTTCGAACTGTTGACCGTAAGATTAGCAGCTTGAATCGTAACTACTACAGTAGAAAGGTAGGCAGCTCAAATCCACTAGTAGCTCCTCAGAGACCCTACACAGGGTTGCTATGAGTCAGAACCGACTCGATGGCACTGAACAATAATCCTTATATTAACCAGGTGAGGTTGCTGCTACTATCGTACCCATTTTATAGACCAGGAAACTGACCTACAGAAAAGTAAAGTGGCATGCCCGTGGTCACATATCAAGTAGTGGGCCAGCCAGGATTTTAATTCAGGCAGTCTGATTCCAGGTACACACTTCCACCCACTATGTTATTCTACCTCTCAAACACTGATGTTGGCTGCCAGTGAGTTGGCCTCAGTCTCACAGTGGCCCCCAGTGTACCATGGTATTGGACCATTGTGATCCATAGCGCTGTTTTTGGTTTAAAGAGCATTGTACCTATTTTTGGCGGCAATATATACTACCAGCTGCTCCGCGGGAGAAAGATGAGGCGTTCTGCTCCCGTAAAGATTTACAGCCTCGGAAACCCTGTACAGAGTCGCTATGGGTCTGAACCGACTCGACGGCACTTAGCAACAACAAAAATATACAATCAAGGAGCTCTGGTAGCATAGGGGTTATGACTCGGGCTGCTAATCTCAAGGTCACCAGTTTGAAACTACCAGCTGTTCTGCAGGAGAAAGATGAGGCTTTCTGTTCCCGTAAAGATTTACAGTCTCAGAAACCCTATATAGGGTCGCTATGAGTTGGAATCGATTCCACCACACACCACCAAACATACATCCAGTTATAATTTCTACATGTATAAATCAATTACATTGGTTACAAGTGTCCCATCATGTCACTGCTCCCACTACCTCAACCCAGACTGTTTCTTCATCTTTGATTCAGGCTCTCTGTCCCTTAGTGGGAGAAAGATGAGGCTGTCCACTCCCATAATGATTTACAGCCTTGGAAACCCTATGTTGTTGTTGTTGGTAAGTGTCATCGAGTCAGTTCCTACTCACAGTGGTCTTGAACAGGGTTTCCAAGACTGTAAATCTTTACGGGAGCAGAAAGCCTCATCTTTTTCCTGTGGAATGACCTCGTGGTTTGTAGTACCGTGCTTATCCTACAGAAACTCTATGGAGCAGTTTTATGCTGCCCCATACAGTTGCTGTGAGTTGGAACCGACTTAACAATAATGGATCTGATGTCGGTTTTGAGTGCGTTAAAGTTCTCGTGTGCTTGAGATGAACTATTGTCAGTGTGAACTCATACAGGTAATCCTTTATAACGGTGCTATGCTTGAGGCAAATAGTCTTTATTAATCAGGCTAAACTGTTGTGGGATAGTTTGGCTGAAGGTTTAAAGATGACTTCTGGGCACTAGACTTGGGGGTTACCTCAGTCTGATCTATAGAGTTTTCATTGTCTTTTTTTGGAAGTAGATTGCCCAGGCCTTTTCTACTGCTCTGTTCAGCATCATAGCAACATCCTCTCTGACGAGCAGGCAGTGGCTATGCTGAGGTGCCAGGGAAATGACCTGGGTCTCCTTCCTGGAAGGTGAGAATTGTGCCACTGAGCCACCACTTCTCCCTTCAGAAAGCAGGACTGCATCTAAGTTAAAGTGGTGCACGTGCTATATTCGCAAAGTCCAGGCTCACCGAGATGACAGCATTGTGCCCGTAACTAAACTGGGAGGTGGGGTTTGACTTACATCTTGACATGAAGGGCTCCTGAGCAGCTCGAGGTTTGTGCCTCATTTCGGAGAGCTCTGTTGATCTTTGCGCTTCTTTTCTAACCTATTCATAGAGGCAGTTATAGTTTCTGATATGCTAAATGAGAGCTCTAAAGGCCCTAGAGGCTTCAAACGCAATCTAATCCAACCAAGACCCAGGAAGGGAAGAGCGCTGAGGGAAGGGAGGAGAAGGCCCACCTCATAGCCACGTTCCTCCACACACAGCTTCCCCAGAGACATCTGTGTCTTCACACGGCTCACTGCACACTCCTTGTCAGAGAGCCCATCCGAGTGCGAGGATATCTCGATAGGGATCTCTGGTGTGTGGGATAGCAGGTCCTCCAGCCTCTCTGCCAGGCGGTCTTCACGGTGCCCAGCTCGCTCGTCAGGACTGTTTGAGTGGTCACTGGTATTGCCCTCCTCTCCATCAGACGCAGAGAAATTCTCCGAGCTGAAAGTTGAATAGGACTGGCAGCTGCTGATGCAGCGGTGAGGCCTAAAACCACAAAGAACCAGTGGAGCTGAATCACAGGAATAATCCTCACCTGTCAGCCAGAGCCTTTGGGAGAAGTCATTGTGTTTTTTGTTTTTTGTTTTTCCTCCCTGCACCACCCCTCCCAGGGAGATTAATCCAGATGGGAAGAAGCCATTCAATACTGCAGCAATACCGAGGCCAGATAGAGGATCCATGTGGGAAAGAAAAATTAAAGTAAGACTCACAACTTCCTAAGCCTGGTAAGCAGAAGAGAGACAGAGAAAAAATATTATAATAGAAAAAGAACGGTGGAAGCCCTCAGGTGATCGCTGAGTTCATGGTGGTGTGTTTCAGGGACAGAGCCAGCAGTGGCGTAATGGCAATGCCAGTAGAATGCATTCAGTGAACAAAAAGACATACTTCACTCAAGCTCAATGTGGCTGCATTGGAGAAAACAGTATTCAAGGAGACAAACAGCCAGCAATAGCAACGTGGCATGAAGAGGCCAGGGAATGAGAGCAGATTTCAACTCTGTGCGCAGCATGGGAACTCACAGCAGAATTTACCAAAAGGCTGGAGGGAACTCCTGTCTGGGGGATTCTTAGAGCTGCATTCTTCAAGGACCTGTGGGCATAAAGGTCTCCTGGGAGGAAAGCTACCCCTCCACTTGCACATATGGTAGCTCTTACTGCAAAAGTAGACAGAGGTGGTCCTTTAGTCTGCCAGCAACATGGGTATCCCTGGCTAAGCTGGCAGTTAATGCTAAGGCTGATTGGAATGAGGTCTCAACTCATCTAGCTGTGCTTAATGTATAAAATAAAGGCATGGGGAGCTATCCAAGAAACCCAATAAAATTACCCACAAAGTAGCATGACTATTCCTCACAAACTGCCCACTGTTTTCTCAGTTATAACCCAGAATTTGGACTTAGACACTTCATCTTGAAGTTCCTATGAAGTGAATTATGATGAACCAGAACCTGCTCTGGTAGCGTAGTGGTTACGAATCGGGCTGCGAACCGCAAGGTCAGCAGTTTGAAACTACCAGCTGCTCCGCGGGAGAAAGATGAGGCGTTCTGCTCCCATAAAGATTAACAGCCTTGGAAACCCTGTGCAGGGTTGCTATGGGTCGGAACCGATTCCATGGCACATAACAATAACAACAACAGAACCTGCTACTACATAAGCCCAAATGTAGCAACGAAGAACCACAAACACAGTGAGTTCAAATTTCCTCAGGTGACCTGTGGGTTGAGCAGAAGATGCAGCCAACCAACTCAGACGACATTGACAGCAATAATGTGTGCTTGTTGATTTTACCTCTGTCTTCGTGGAAATTCAACTTCACTATCTACTTCCCCTTCTTCCTCTTCCGAGGAGTCGTCTCCACTCTGAGGAGAAGAAGAAATGAGTTGTTTTTCTCTCTCTCTCACACACACATATACACACACAATGTAAAAGGATCTAATTATCATTAAAAAAGCATTTAGTACTAGTTCATTGAATACCATCTTCATTCATTCATTCAGCAGCTCCCTCTGGGTGCCCATGCTGACAGGTCCTGTATTAGAAGCTGGAAGACACAGAGCTGAGTAAGACTTATCTTTGCCCTGGGGTTGGGGAAGACTCTGTGAGCAAGTCCAGATGTGAGTGACGGAGACAGGAAACTAGAGACAGGTCTCAGAGTTTGGAGGGGTATTTTGTAATAGTAATCTCTGAGAGTTTCAGGCTCTGTGTCTTAGAGACCCCACCAAGAAGTAATTTCTCAGTTCTTCAGAGCTCAACAATGACTATTTCCCATTTCCACTAATAGTATGTTTATGTCATCTCTACCATTAAGACATCCACCATGTAAGGATCAGACCTGTCTTATCTGTATTGTATCCCCCACTCCACCACTAATGCAATGTGGCACAGTAATGAAGTGCTCAGCTGCTAACTGCAAGATTGAAGTTCAAACCCACCAGTTGTTCCATGGGAGAAAGATGTGGCACTCTGCTTCCGAAAAGATTACCAGCCTTGGAAACCCTATGGGGCTGTTGTCTTCTTCCCTATTGGGTCGCTATGCGTTGAAATTAACTTGAAGGCAGTGAGTTAGCCATACTAACTAGGTGCTTAATAAATCTGTATTGAGTTAGAGTACACGCAGGGATAAGGGAGCTCTGCTTGCAATATCTGAATGCTGTGATTGCTGGGTTCTGTACTTTATCTGGATCCTGGGCAAGCATCCCATCTGAAAAGACGATTCTCGCTTACAGAGATGATCCTGTCTTGCATCAAGGACATAAGAACAGCCACACTTAAGATCAACTGTCCTCAACCACAGTATCCTGATATAATAATGAAGGATGAGCATTCCTTGTGAGGTGAGTAATTGTTTACAAGTAATTTTACCAGATAGTAACTAATTTAGCTCTTCAAAACTCAATTCTAAAATATGATCTCTCCCACCCATTTGTGTAAGCATTACTAACCACAAGGTCAGTGGTTCCAATCCTTGGAAACCCTATACAGGATCGGTATGAGTCAGAACCAACTTGACAGCTCTTAACAACAACCTACTTTTTTGAATGGGAAAGGCCAAAGTGGAGTCACACAGACGGCTGAGATGAGCTCTTTGTTGTTGTTGTTATTGTTAAGTGCCATCGAGTCGGTGTTGACTCACAGCAACCCTGTATAGGGTTTCTGAAGAGTGGCTCATGGGTTTGAACCACTGCCCTTGTGGCTCACACTGACCTTGCTTTCGGTCAAGCACATTGGGAGCGTGACTCAGTGAAGAGGGTAAATTTGCCTTGAGGAAATGTGTTCCCACAAGGTGTACAAAGTATGTGTTCCATGGCTGTAGATCCATAGGTGGTATCTCAACCCCAACCTAATGTAATTTAAAATGACGTTACGTGAGGGGTGACTGCTAAGGGATGATGACCAGTTCTAACATCGACTGGGGTGATGGCTGCTCTGTCAGTAGATTTTAACAAAGAACACTGAATTATATCCTTAAATGTGTGGATTCTCTATATGGAAATTGCATCTCAATAAACTTGTTATGTTGTTGTTGTTAGGTGCCATCGAATCGGTACCGACTCATAGCGACTTTATGCACAGCAGAACGAAACACTGCCTGATCCTGGGCCAACCTCACTACTGTTGCCACACTTGAATCAATCTATGCTGCCACTTGGTCAATACATCTTGCTGGGGAGGTCTTCCTCTTTTTCTCTGACCCTCCACCTTACCAAACATGATATCCTTCTCCAGCGACTGGTCCCCCCGAACCATACCAAAGTATGAGAGATAAAGTTTGGCCATCTTGGCCTCTAAGGAGAACTCTGGCTGCACTTCTTCCAAAATAGATCTATTCGTTCTTTTGGCAGCCCATGGTACTTTCAATATTCTTCTCCAACACCATAACTCAAAGGCATCAATTCTTCTACAGTCTTCCTTATTCACTGTCCACCTTTCGCATGCATATGAGGATACTGAAAATACCATTGCTTGGGTCAGGCACACCTTAGTCTTCAAGCTGACATCTTTGCTCTTCAACATTTTAAAAAGGCCTTGTGCAGCAGATTTGCCTA